ATATATATATATATATACTATCTATAATTTCCTTACTGTGTAATGCCACATCAATTTTTTATTCTTAAAACATTTTTTACAAGTGCATTGTATTTATTCCTAGTATTGGGGTTCCTTTGTCATAATCATTTAAGAGTGAAATGTAATTCTTTTTAATTCAGTACCCAGTACTTCCTCTTATCATTTCCTCCTCCCTTCCCCTTATCCCTTTCTTCTATTCCACTGATCTTTCATCTCTTTGTGTTTTTGTGTGTGTTTGTGTGTGCATTTATATATGTGTGTGTATACATATATATTGTGTATTTTAAATTATGGCTTTTCAGTTTTACATAAAAGTGAAATTCAATATGGTATATTTATATATGATTGGTCAATTTTTTTCCACAATTTCTCTCTTTCCCTGTTCTTCTTTCTCGTCCTCAATTCCTTCCACTACTAAACTGATCTCTAGTGTTTTCATGTGATCACCCACTTTTTTCCTTCATTTCAGTTCAGTTTCTGCATATGAGATAAAACATTTTACACTTGACTTTCTAAGGCTGACTTATTTACTTAGCATAATGTTCTCCAGTTCCATCCATTTACTGGCAAATAATACAATTTCCTACTTTTTTTACAACTGAATAAAATTCCATTGTGCATGTATAAGACATTTTCTTTAAATATTCATTTCTTTACAGGTATCTGGGCTGGTTCCCGAACTTAACTATTGTGAATTGTTCTGCTATAAGCATTGATATGGCTGTATCACAATAGTATGTTGATTTTAAATCTTTTGAATAAATACCAAGGAATCAGATAGTGAGTATTAGGCTAGATTTATTCTTGAGTGTTTCAAAGAAAGTTCATAGTCTTTCTCAGAGTGTTTGTACTAATTTGCAGTCCCACCACCAACTATATTCACCACATTCTTGCCAGTATTTATTTTTATTTGTGTCCTTGATAAATGTCATTCTAAATAAAGATGAAATTATGTGGGTTTTGTTTGCATTTCCTTGATTGCTAGGAAGGTTGAATATTTTTTTTTCATATAATTGTTGGCCATTTGTATGTCTTCTTTTTTATTGTTCTTTTTAGATATACGTGACAGTAGAGTATGTTTTGACACATTTATCTTATTCTAATTAGGATGCCAGTCCTATGATTGTACATGATATGAGATTCACTGTGGGGTATTCATATATGAACAAGGAAAATTATGTCTGATTCATTCTACTGTCTTTCCTATTCATGCCCCCACTCTCTTCTTTTCATTCCCCTTCATCTCATCTACTGAATTTCTATTTTCTTCTTCCCCATTTTTGTGGGTTACCATTCACATATCAGAAAGACATTTCACCTTTGTTTTTTGGGGGGGACTGGCTTACTTCCCTTAGCATAATAGTTTCCAGATCATCTACTTACTGGCAAAATTATAAAGTCATTTTATGGCTGAGTAATAATTTATTGGTATATATACCAAAATTTCATTCTTCATTCATCTGCTGAAGGATACCTAGGTTGGTTCCATAGTGTTGCTATTATGAAATGAACTGCTATAAATATTGATGTGGCCACATCACTTTAGTATGCTGATTTTAAAATCCTTTGGGTATGTATCCAGGAGTGAGATAACTGGGACATATGCTGGTTCCATTCCAATTTTCTAAGGAATCTCCATAATGTTTTCCCAAGTAGTTGCACCAAATTTTAGTCTTACCAGAAACGTGTATGTGTACCCTTTCCTCCCTCATCCTCACCAAAAATTATTTTTGCATGTATTCTTTTTAAATGTTTATTTATATTTATTTTATGTGGAGCTGAGGATTGAACTCAGTCCCTCACACATGCAAGGCAAGCACTCTATCACT